CGTGCGTTTTAAGTTCATAATAAAATATTATACATGTACATATATTATGTAGGAATATATTTGAAATCACCTATTATCAATTGTTAAGGGTAGGTATTGTACACCTGTTGCAAAACTTTACTTTACTTTATATATAATATGAATAATAACGATCTAATTTAACAATTTATTTACAATAAAGATTGTGGATTATAAATTTCAGTGGTCTGCTATTTGAGATTTTTATTTTACAAATAATTAAATGGGTATTCTTCTAGAATTTGTTCGATTACAAGTTGACAAATAATGAATAAACAAAAAATTCAACACTTTCATTATTTCGACCTCGATAATGTTCGACCTCATTTGAATTAATAAGTTAACGTTCGAATCTACATCTCATTGTCTCGTCAAATATTTAAGAAATAAATCACTTAATTTATTCCGACTGGGATAGAATAAATTATATTACAATCGTCTCTTTAGTAAAATAGGTTTTTAATGCAAGTGTTTATAGATTTGTATTTTAAAATTTGTACATATGTCTATTTCCTACTATTCTTTTATAACTTCACAAGAAAAACTGATTGTAATTAACTGTCATTTAAACTGAATAGGTGTTTTGTTTTAGTCCATAAATATTTGTTAAAAACATTTTGAATAGTATTTTTTATATATGTAAATTAACTCACATCCCAAACAGTTATGCGCAATAACAAAAGTATCACTGTATGAATTTATCGTCATATTTTTGTTATCTTCTATTGTTGAGAGAGTAAATTCCAAAAACATTGCCCTTATCTATTTTGACATAAAAATAAAATTCCGCTTTATTAGATAGACAACCTGCTTCTCAGTAAAACACGGCAATGAAAAGGAAATATAAACGTAAAAATATTATTTATACTCAAAGCCGAAACTATGTACAGAAGTAATGTCTTTTTTCAGAAATTATATATAATCAGATTCACATTATCCTTTTTCGTGTATTAAGCAGGGATGTAACGGAGGTATTTTTATCGGAACCGAAATCGGAATCGGAGTTTTCAAATTTGGTTTATCGGAATCGGAATCGAAATCGGAGGCAGGGTAGGTTTGTTTAAGGTCAAATAAAACATGATTTATAGTCAATTCTTTTCATTTTTATTTTTTATTATAAATTAAAAAACAACTGAAAAAAATTGGCATATTTCCAAATAAACCAAAGATAAAATTAATGAATTTAAAGTTTAATTAAAATTAAAACCCGAAGTAGTGTGTTACATTTGGTTACATTACAATAAATGAACAAAATCTAAAATAAATTAAATGAAAATGGACTCCAAAAGTAATGTATTGTACTTTATGAACAAAAGCATTGATGCTTTTACAATCTATTTCTTAAAGAGTCGTAAATTAGGCCAGCACCACTAAAAAGTTGTTCGCTAGCTACCGAGCCCGGTGGACATGACAAATATTGCCAGGCAATTCATTGTAGGGGCTGGAATTTTGTATTTCCATTTACTTTCCACCACACTAACGGATCATCACTAATACTTATACGTTTTTCTTTGTTGTACTCATAAACGTGTCGTGGCCGTAACAAATAATAACAAGTGAAAAATTAATTGATGATAGAGTGCACGTAGTGGGGGTTTAAGGATTCCCGCGCGACATGTATGGACCTGTTCGGCACACGTTTCGTTCGACCTCGGATTAACATCCGATAAAAAAGTATTGGAACCGAAGTCGGAACCGAAAGTGTAATAATTATCGGAAGTTCCGACTTAACGGAACCGGAATCGAAGCTCCGTTACATCTCTGGTATTAAGCTTGGAGATGCATAGTACTAGAAAAATTTTAGTTATTTCAATAATTTCTGTCCTATAATTTGAAATCAACTTAAAACCCTTATAAATTTTATTCAGTAAAAGAAAAGTATTCGTTGTCTTCTTAGATATAAGAGGAACTTTTATTAAAAACACGATTTAACTAAGATTAATTTATCTTTTAATAATTAAGGAACGCAGCAAGGTTCAGACTGTAAATACAGTTTCTTTAGTACTTGCCTCTTCGTAATTCATAAAACTCATTACATTCTAATAGTTTTAGGAAAGATAAAGATATCTTGTTTTCTTTGCACAAATTTCAAAATAAAAGAAGAAATATTTTAAATCGCAAAAATTAAGGACATTAATTCTGAAATATTGAATTTTATTATTATTAAGAAAACTATTGTTATAAGAGGTTGAAGACATAAGAGAATTCTATATTTGTAATTTACCCCATGTATAAAGAAGAAGTATTCAATATACGTATTATGAGACTACATATATAAACACATTTAAAAATGTAAAAAAAAAAAATTAAGACCTAAATACAGATAAAGAGCTTTTAAGTGTAATATAAAATTTGTTGCAATTAATAAAGCCCACATTCTATGATAATATTTGACGAAATGAAAGTTTAAAACAGTAGCCAATAAATGTAAATAGCGTTTATTAAAGTAAAATACCCCAAATTCAAATTAAACCCAGTACGTCATGCTAATTGAAGGAGTATCTGTAAATTACAATGAATATTATATGGTTTTAAAACATAAATCTACCTTAGATTCTGCGTTATGGGTACATGTAAAAGTTTAAAAGACTACTATAATAAATTTAGTAAAGCAAGTTATAATATTATGTTCACGTTTTTATTATATTCGTCATCATAACACATTTCGTTTACCTCTACTATTTTTTTATAATCATTCCTTGAAAAGAAAGAAATTCATGAATTAGCTACAGTTGGCTTCTTTTACCTATCATAATGTATAATGATAACCGAGAACTTTTGATTTCTATACAAAATAATCGCAATTGGTTTGTAAGTCGACTCAACAATCGAACATACTTTCCCAAGAGAAAATAATATAATGACTATCCTAATAAATAAGCATTAAATATTTATTTTCTACCATTATTATGTTTCCCGTTCAAATCGCACAGTTACAAAGTAGACGAAGATATAAAGCTATTTAAGTTATACTTACGTCTCAATGAGGCAATTATTCCGGCAAACAACAAGAGAAAAATAAAAGTGATTTATTTTTATGGTGGTACTTTCAAAGACCATTTTGTAATATTATTGGTGGTTTCGAATTGAACTGTAACCACTGTACATTTGTAGATAGCTAGCATAAGCACTTGTCGTTTTTTTTTTCCTGTAATTTTGTTATTAAATAAAAGTTTTAAAATGGCTTTGCATTGCAAGGGGAAATACTTTATTTAAATGCTTTGAGACATTGATTTCTCTAAATTTCTCAGAAGCAGTATATAATAAGCACGTCATTGATAACTCACAACACAACAAGAAAATTTTAAATATGGGGAAAAATGTAGCCAAAAAGCATGACCACTTAAATAAGAAATAAGAGTTAAGTAAATTAAATGTGTTAATGCTTAGGAACAACTACGTTATTGTATACTTGAAATTATATTCTTTCAAGAGTTTTTTTTTAATTCAACTAAATACTTTGACAAATTTTTGCAAATCAGAAATTTTGTATAAAAAAATTATAAGAAGAAAAAAATTATAGACGAAAATTATAAGAAAGAGATATTTCAAGGCTATTCAGATGTACATCACAGAACGTATTTTTCATATAAATGATTGACCTAGAAAAACAATTGAGTGAGGATAATAACACTTTAAGATACAGACCAAATAGTTTCAATAATTTCATATATTCTGTTTCTCTGATAATGTTTTCTTTTATTATTTTTAAGTTTTTTTTTTTCATTTGAAGCATAATTGCTGTGCCTAATGAGATAACTTATTGAACACTACGGAATCAGTAACAAAATCCTATGCAAGATTTCATTCATTTCTGTATAAACATGTCTTTTAAATTTATTAGTGAATAAAAGATTATTTTTCCATAATGTATAAAATAATCAGAATCTGTAATAAGCTTTTAGGGATTTTTTACATTGACGAAAAGCGTATACAAGAGTCAAACTGAAAGTTCTTAGAACTGGCCACTTATAAACATTATAATAAAAAAATAATTCTAAAATTTGAAAATAGAACTCTGTCAATATTACTGAGTATATATTTCATATATTTGTCATTTGTTTTACTATTTGGCGGCAAATTGAAAATTGTCTGTGTCACGTCAACATGAATTTAACACGAGAAAATTTTTGTGCAATGATTTTTTATGACTTTAGATGTCATTTAAGTCAACAAGAAAGTTATGATAGACTACGATTGGCCTTTCACGATGGGGCTCCATCTCGTGCGACTGTTTACAACTGGTTCAAAAAAAAATAATCTTTGATAACGATAAATTAGAGGTATTTAACAAAAATTTACGAATCTTCCTAATTACATTTCATTGATTTGAAAAAGGCCATTTTGGTGATATATTCCATATAATTGAATGAGCAAATACATAAATAAGACGTAGTATTTACCAAATCATGCAAAATTCCTAACATATAAGGCGAATTCTAGTTTATATACATAAGAGATAATAACATATATACCAAGCTCCTATCCTGGTTTGTTTTCATATTTATTCCGTTCCTTCATGTGTATTTATTCGGCCCTGGTCGCTTGTTTATCTCCCCTGTGTCCTTCATCACTCTTATCTAGTTCTTGAAGTTGTTCCTACAAAAAATATACATTATAGATACAAGATTTATTTCATATATTAGTTTCAATAGTGCTCTAATTACGTGTAATTTTTTACAATGATATGACGGATTGTAAATATTATCATAATCTGTTGATAAACAGTATAAAGTGACTCGAAAATTTTAATAATATGTAAAGTTTTAGGCGTCAATTATAACTCTACTTGTAGTATTTTGTAATTTGTCAACTCAAAGTCACTAATGTAACTCACACAAGGCGCTGCGTCTTCATCATTTATAGGTTCCGTGTTCATTTGTACATTGTCATTTGTTCCTTTTTCCATTTCTGCGTTCTCAACTTTATCCTCAGCCGACGGATCTCTATTAGAAGGATCCGCGTTTGGATTGGGATCTTGGTTAGTCTCTTGTTTTTTCTTCATCTTTCGTTATGTCATCCGGATTCTTTGGTAATTCTTTCTCTGAGCCATCCTGTGTATCCGGTTCCGTTTCCGGATTGTTTTCATCCACTTGTGTCTCATCATCTCCTGTTTCTTTCAGTATTTCTTCGTTTTCATGTTTCTCTTTGTCTTGCTCCGTTTCAGTACCTTCCTCTTTGTTCTGTAATAATAAACACAAACATAACTATATTACAATTATTTTATCTTCGTAACTATATTTATTATATATTATACTATAAGTCTACCTGTTCATCATCGTTTCCTTCACCTTCTTCATCACTGGACACTTCTAACCCATTTTTATTTCCTATATCTTTATCTTCATTATCATTTTCTTTCTGCTCTTCTTGTAAAGCTTCTTTCATCGCGTCGATTTCAAACGGATTTTCAGTTTCGGTTTCTCCATTCTGAATGTGACATTTAGTTTATTATTATTTTATAAAATAATTATTATGAAGAGTTTCGTAAATAGTATATGTTTACCTTATCGTCTTTTCCTTCGCCGTCCAAGTTTAAATCATCGGGCTCAGGTAGTTCTTGTTGTTTTCCATGATAGGGATCAACCTTGAAAATAAATTATTTACTATATAGTTAACATCAACACTTAAATAATAACGAAAGATTCGAATAAACTAACCTGATCATCGTCAACTTCGGGTTCCATTTCATTAATATCTTATTTTTCCTTTCCTTTCCTTCACTGCTCATCTTTTCCTTGTTCTTATTCTTTAGAGCCCATTTCTTTCTCACCTTTGCCTCGTTCTTATTTTGTTCTTCGTCTATATCTTCTTCGTCTCCGGATCCCCATATTTGTTGATCGAGACTTTTCATTAAAGAACAAAAAAATAGAGAATCTATACTAATATTATAAAGCTGAAGAGTTTGTTTGTTTGTTTGTTTGTTTGTTTGTTTGTTTGAAAGCGCTAATCTCCGAAACTACTGGATCGAATTGAATAATTCTTTTTGTGTTGGATAGTCCAGTTATCGAGGAAGGCTGTGGGCTATATAACATCACGCTACGACCAATAGGAGCAAAGGTATAGTGGTAAATGTGTAAAAAACGGGAGAAATTATTTCATCATTGAAGCCTTCCGTTGCGTGCGCCGTGAAAACGGTTCAAGATACACAAAAAATATGTATTAAAGAATAATAGCACTTTTAATGATCTAAAAAACAGTCCTCGACAGTATATGTCTATCTTTTAAGATTAACTCACAAAAACCGTTTTTATGGTACCTAATTTGGTCGAAATAATTTGTTTATGTTGTATCAACATAATAATATTCATCTTTATTCAAATAAACAAATAAATATGTTGTTGGTTAAGAGTACTGCATTGTGAATTAAAAAAAAACATAGGTTTTATCCTGAAAATTCTATGGGAACTCGACCATTCCGAAGACCCCGCAAGAACGGGAACTATGTGGGAAGGACCAAAAATCTGCCAGAAGTCACTATTCCATGCGGACGAAGTCGCGGAAAAAATCTAGTATTAAAATAACTTTACACAAAATTACTTAATATTAGTGGTTAACTAGAGCTGTAACGTTCATACAAATGCAATTTAACTATACCGTGTTTTTAAAACAGTTTATAGAATCTTACTTATACAATAACGAAAATAAAGGCATCCTTTTATTTTCCTAATATCTTTCTTAACATATGTATATATTGGACGTTCTAACTCTTGCTAACCGACTTTATGACAATTTAACAATATTAGTCAATTTCAAATAAATTGGTTCTGCTTTCAATTATACATGTGACTAAAAACATATTAAAAAATATTCGATATTTAAGATCACATTTTACAATATTAATTATTGTAATGTGTGGCAAAAATAATGATGATATTCACTTACTTTTCGGCAGCATTATCTGTATCTCCCATTTGTTTATCGGCATCGTCATCATCATTTTCTTCATCTGATTGTTCTGGAATTTAAAAGGACATTTATTAAATTTACAACCCTATTTTATATGCTTAAAACTTAATTTTATATGACTATATTATCAACCTTTCTGTTCAACGTCTTGTAAATGAGAATCAAAGTCGTCAGTCATATTGACTCCTTCTCTTCTTCCTTGCAATCTTTATCTTGTTCGTTCTTTTCTTCACCCGGTTTATGCGCGTCGTCCAATTGATCCCTTGAAAACAAAAACAATAATTTTTCTGTGTGTAATAAATTTTGTCTACAACGCTAAAGTCAATGATATTTCAATAATTCTATCTATCCCTTTCCCACACCTGGTTTTCTTTGCGTTCAGAGACATCTTTCTGTCCCTCTCCCTCACCAAGTCCCATACCGCTGTCTCCAGTAGTGCCTTCTCCCTCACCCTCCTATGAATCTAGTTCTGAATGTTGGCAGAAACTGTAAGGAAATAAAGGAAGTTTCAATTTATTACTTGACTAAAACATTCTTAAACAATAACTTATTTAAGGATAATCTAACTACAATATGAATTAAAAAGCTTCAGTGGAACAACTTATTGAAATTATCTAATTTGTGTCAATTTATGAAAGTTTTTATAATATTTTATTATTTTCTGTACTTTAGATTTTTATAAAGTTTAATACATATTTAAATGCAACCCCAACTTATTCATTTTAACATTGTGGTATATTTAATCTAAATTGTATCGATATAATTACCCTTTCCATGCCAGATCCAAGAAAATCTTCAAAAGCACTAACAGTATTTTACAGGATACTCTATGCACAGCAACTTTTTGGGAAACAAAATATTGGACAAATAGTATAACTTGCTCCAATATCGGTACCAATCTCATAACAACAGTTCTAGCTTCTTCCATATCAGACCGAGTCGCAATATATTCCACATAGTTAATCAAAAGTTCGCGCAATTTCTTGAATCAGTCGAAATGTTCTCTTGGAGTAATTCTTTTAAATGATCATCTTCTAAAATTTCTTTGGTTTCAACTTTTTCACCTTCATGTATAATTTCATCAATAGCGTTTATATCGTCCATATTCTCCGCTTGTTTCTCTGGCGGCAGATGTTTTTTGTACAACGATTGTATCACAAGTAACATCGTAGCCACAACATCTTCACTCTGCTCTAACACTGTGCCGTCAGTTTCATCCATTTCTGGGTCTCGGTTCATACAATTTTTCAAGCTCTGTTTTATATCTTTAATGTAAGCCGCCATATTTTCAAGGCTTCTTAGCATTGGATGATGCGGTGTGAAGTCTTCTATGACCGCCGTTTTGAAAACAAACTGATATGCGATAATAATTTGCTCACTTTTTTCTATTATAAAGTCCAAATTATTCTTAGCTTCGTTTGTAACTTCTATATGACTTTGAGAAACTAGAGGTAACTCAAAGGATTCTTCGATTTGTTTTGGGTTTCGAGAAAATTGTTTAACAGTGCCTTTTATTTATCAACTAGAGATATAATTGACTTAATTTTTTTATTAAGAGACTTCCATTCATCGCTATCCTTGAAACAATCAGCCAAAGGTGAGTTTGATAGCACTCCGTCGAAATCTGGCTCAGAAACAGTATTCAAATGTTTTTCCGGAACAGACTTCAGAACGACGTTGAATCGTTCTAGAAGAATGCTCGTATGAGCGTAGCATTCCGCTAACACATTGAGAATTTCTTCAAGCGAAGTTATATTACATCCTGTAGAGTCTATTTCTAACGCGTTTGTAAGACTTGTAGCTACGGTTCGTAAATCGAAAATATGTTTCGTATAACGCGAAATCGACTTCTTCTGAGTGTTAGTATTTTTCTGGAAATAAAATGTATATACTTGAAATTTTAGCACAAATTATTATTTAACACTATTTATAATGTCATGGAATATCAATATAATGTTGATTTAATTTCTATTTCTATTATATTATATAAATGTTACACTTTTAACAATACACTTATAGCAAAAAGAAATATAAATATACTTTACAAATAACAAAATATTGGTGATCACACAGAACATGGACAAAGTCGAATGCTTTTGTTATATAGTTGGAAATACCTGCTTTTCAAATAGCTCATAGCGGCCTCGAAATCGACGGGTAGTATTGTGAAATTATACATGTCTTCAGAAGCCGATAGTATAACGAGACCCGTGCGATAATTCAAGCCGATTTTGTTCAAATATGTGAACAGATCCGATAGAGCTTTACGCTTCTGCTGCGTTATGTTTTTAGCTTGACATTTTTGTTTGTCCTTCGGCAATGTTGAATCCACCTACGATATAGAGTATTATTATTAAAATGTTTTGTATTTGTTACAATCTTAGCAGTAAACAATTATCGACAGCCGTTTGCAATGACTACAGTATGTTCACTTTATTATTTATGAAGACATTTTTTTCGGGTATAAGTCTAATTTTTAGAAATTATTTAAATGAAATAGAAATGACAATTCACATTTATATAAGAACCAATATAGAAAATGAAACAATTTTACGTGTATAAAATAAATATTCATTATGTTCACTTGTCTCTATAACCAAGGTTACAAAGTCGTCCAAGGCTTGTAGTAGCGCGGGGTAGCCCGTGTTAGCGATGCTATCCTTACATAATGTTCGAGCTTTGTTCAACAGACTCGGAATCTTTGCCTGGAGACTGTTCTTTTGTATTAATTGACAAGGCTGTTCGAGCTGCTATTCGTATTTCTGTAAAAGTGAATTCAATTATTAAAACATTATTGCGCAATATTAAAACATTATTGCGCAGTTGCATATTTATAACTGTAACTAATGTTTTTTTTTTAAAGACAGAAAAACTGCAATTGTAGCTTGCTACCTTTACAGCTAAATCAAACAGAAGACGGGCGAAATCATTCATAACCACCAAATCTTTTATCATTATTATATTTTAAGTGTAATAAAAATGACGTGTTTATATACCTTAATGTTTCTGTTCAGTACTACATGGTTCTGAAGATCTATCATATACGCTCCGCCCGCGGCGTTGCTTGCAGTGCCAGCCCTCTTTGGTCTATCCCAAATACCCACGTGATCGATAGACTCACTCGCCGTGTCCACCAGACAACTCGATACCAATCTCCTTTAGAACTTTCTGTAGACAATTTTTCAAGTAAGATATTTACTCAGAATTCACAAACACATCAATTACCTAAGATAATATAAGATGGTAAAGTACACAATAATGGTTTATATTACAAACATTGACTTAGAAATTATCGAAGGAATTTATAAATAAAAACCATGGAGTCCCTCCGTACGGAAGAAATGAAAATTCGTGTTGTTTCAATGAAAATAGGAAGTTATAAATATCAATTTATAGTGAACTCATATTGTTTCTTTAAGACAAACTTAATAAATATTGCTTAAAATTCACAATTGATCCATCCATTTACTATCGCTCTGTCTCTTTCTATTCCCCCTCCCCAGGAGCGTTGCACGTTTAAGGCAACCTTGTTGGAAGTAGCATTAGACGCTTCACTACAATAAATATATCAATATGGCTGACCTCAAACTCCTTGGTGTGTTTGTATAAAGCTTTATGAGCCTTGTCTGCTGCGTCCTTCACACTCCAGTAACTGAGGTCTCTGTCCCAGGTGCAGATTTTGACCAAGTCCTTCAATAACAATGTATTCCATAACAATGATAGGAGTTCAACTAAAACAGAACATATACAGGGTGACTGGTGAATTACTATCAATATTTAAGGAGAATACTCGGTACATGATTCTCATTCGAATTATGTAAAAAAAATAGGTACTTAATTTTTGACCAAATTTCCGTATAAATAAATAAAGTGTGGACACGTTCCAAGTGTTCCAAGTGTGGACGCGTGCGGCGGCGTGCTGATACAACACCACGCCGCCGCACG